AGCAGATTTGGCAATTGGGCTTCGGCTTGGACTTCATTAAGTATTCATGTGTGAATCGGGTATGCCGCATTCTTAATCTTGGGATGACAGCGTTTTCTTTTCTATAGATTGTTGGAAGTTCAAATTTTTTTTGTGCACTGGTGCAAAAATACTGAAACAAATATTTATTACAAGAATGAACAGTGTTGTACTGAATACTGAACCTTGCGGGACTCCATTATTTTGCCCGAATGTCGCCGAAATTTTCCCATTTGTTTTCACTTTTAACGTACTTTGTTGTAAAAAGTTTTTTTATGAACGAGTAAGTATTTCCTAGACAATTTTTAAATAATAAAAAACTATTAAATTTATGGTTATAATTTTTCTTATATATTGGTAAGAATGTTTTGGGGTATACACAAGAAAAAATTTAGAGACACTTTTAGTTGCTTTTCATCACTGCAAGAGGAATCTTCCAAAAGATGTATTTTAATTTGAGAGATATTTTCTGCCTTCTTATGACAATTTCTTTTTATTTAAACTTGATTCAATTTAAAAGACTTCAAAGTTAAAAAAAAACTTTTAAAAGGTAATTTATTTTTTATTTTTATGGCCTTAATACTTGATTTTGTTTAAAAAATTCGAAAAAAAAAACACTGTTTTAAAGGTGAATTTACTCCTGTACTAAAAAAAATATCGCAAATGCATCAAACAATATCGATAATTTGTATGGATTATCTAAAACCTAAGGATATAAGAATATGTTCTCTATAGAAAACAAGTAGCCAAGATTCGAGTAGACAATCAATTATCCGATGAAGTCCCAATGCAAGGAGTAGTACGACAAGGTTGCATACTCTCGCCTTTGCTGTTTAATGCGTACTCTGAACATCTATTTCGAGAAGATTTTGGAGAAACGACTGATGGCGTGATTGTTAACGGTGAAATAATAAATAATCTAAGATATGCAGACGACACTGTCCGTGTTGCGGATAGTGTTGAAGGATTACAAAGACTGATAGATCAAATAGTAACATCGGTAGTGAATATGGAATGAAACTTAATAATAAGAAGACGAAAATTATGATCATAAGCAAAAACCAAGATACAGATGCAAACTTTATGGCAGACAATGAGGTATTGGATAGAATAGAAAAAATAACATACCTAGGCTAGGATGCAACATCACAGACAGCTGGGATCACTCATACGAGATTAAATGTAGGATCGAAAAAGTAAGGAGTGCCTTCCAACAGATGAACAAAGTTCTCTGCAATTTAACCTTGAACTTACATCTCCGACTCAAAATCCGTAATTGTTATGTGTTTTCTGTCCTTATATATGGAGCAGAAGCATGGACACTCACTGATGCATCTTGCAGACGATTGCAGACTTTCGAGATGTGGTGCTATCGTCGCATGCTCAAAATATCATATGTACATCATATAACTAAATACAGAATCCTGCTATTGATATTAGAAGGGAAAATAAAAGGAAATAGAGGACCAGGACGCCTCCGAATATCCTGGCTTAAGAATTTGAGACAGTGGACAGGTATGACTACCACAGACCTATTTCGAACAGTTGCTAATAAAATACGATGATCCATTGTGGTAGCCAACATCCATAGAGGATAGGCACTAGCAGAAGAAGATCTAAAACCTGCAAAACCAATAATTTATTCCTAAATACTTTGTTTGTAGACCATTCTCTTAATATTGCTATTAAAATTATATCGTTTTGATACACACTTCCTATGCCTATGGTGATTAATCAATAGTTACACTACTTTAAAATATAATTGTTATTAGATCCTAACAAACAAGTAATAGAAATAAACCCAACCTAACGAGACTTGCATACCCATAAAATATATTAGGGTATTCAATTCTTTGGGGTGAGAGAATTGATCTGAGTAAACCAGGGATGCACCTCCGAGCTCCAGTGCTCTCCAGTGATCCTTCATCTAGGATGTTGATGTGCTGTGGAGTCAACTATCATCAAAACACTTGCCATATGTGAGTCCTGGGTACAGCACAAGTAATATCTCTCGTAGTATCCGGTTTGGGTGTCTTCAAGCTCAGCGAATTTTATTTTGACTTTTTCTTCATAGTACATCTCTCGCTTACATGGAACGTTGACTTTTATATGATCTACTTTATACCGGAGTCTGACAGATAGGAAATACATGCAGAATTTTACACTTTAATGGCAGTTTTAGTGCCGTCTCCTCTGCTGACCATAAACAAATTCATTATAATAATAATTAACAACATTATTGCTTTTTGTAGGCTGCGATAATTACAATGTACGTAATAATTCTTCCATAAAAATAATTTAATAAAATAAGATACAATGCAATACTTATTTATTTGGCAATGCGGTGTAAGAACAGATCGCGATTTCAGTTATTTCTGTTACATTGTTACACTGTAATTGAAACCGTTGATTAAAACTCATATGTTTCGGTTTAATTTTTTGGTGTTAAAGAATTTGTTCTCTTTTATATCCGTGTTAAATCAAGTCACAGACACATTTAGAGCAAAATAAATTACATGTTGTAAGGGAATGACGAAGAATCAATTGGATATTTCGGATGTGGAGCTCTGACAATACCTTATATTTAACCGTATGTTTGGGGTGCTTAATGAAAGCTTTCTACCCCCTGAGAAGAAATACGATCGCAATCAAGGGCTTCTTTTATACCTTACTCGATTGAAGGACATTCCCTGTTCAATTTTTTTCGCTTAGCCAATCAGTATACAAGAGGATGTTTCTCTAATGAACTATTAAACGACATTTTTATTCTGTTTGAAATGAAAAATACAGTAGGGTTATTTTTCTCCGGATTTTCTTCGTTATATAGCCCTAAAACTACTTAACTTTTGTACCTCATATACACTTGAGTGCAAAACAATCGACTCAAAAGCGATATTTGAGATTATACCTTCTGTTTTAATGTAAGAAGTATGAAAATAACAAGATGTAATGTGCAAACAGTAACTTTATTATTGAACTTACAAAAACTGCTCTTTCATTATTTGGAAGACGCATTATAAAAACAATATGCAATACGAACAGAGTTACTCAAATATTCATCATTGGAACTATTCCAAGAAAGACGCAACGAACAGAGAAATCATCAATTACAAAATGAATTTTTTTGTTTTTCAGTATCTGATATTACCATCCCTATTCCTAATTACACTTTCCAATCGATTTCGCATGGATCGGATGACTTTTCTAATAAATTCTTGAGGCATTGCTTCCCATTCATCATTAAGGGCAGCTCTCAATTCCATTATGCTCCTTGGTGCATGATTTCTGCTCCGAAGCCTTCGTTTAAGCTCATCCCAAACATGCTCTATTGGATTTATGTCCGAACTCAACGCAGGCCAATTTATTGTAGGTATAACCGATCTCAGTCAGATAGGTGATGGTGACTCTTATGGTATGACATCGTGCATTATCATGCAATAAAATAAAGGCATTACCAATAAATTCCGCGTATGGAACCACATGTTCCTCCAAAATATCTCTGATGTAACGATCCTCCGCCGTTTAAACCTCCTCCACGTCCTCCACCAGGCACGAAAACTAGCTCGGTTTTCCCATTCATGGAAATGTCTGCCCAAAACATACAAGAACCGCCTCCATATGACGCAGATGAAGAACGCCTTCTATAGACTCGACGCTTCTTGTCGTTGCCATGTAGGCAGATCCTACTTTCGCCGGAGAATAATACCTGACTCCATTGATAGTCGTCCCAATCCAGATGTTCGCGAGCAAATTCTAGTCGTCTTTGCTTCTGCGCTGCAGTTAGCTTGGGACCAGTAGCTGCCCTTTTTGGTGTCAGGTTGGCTGCTTTCAGTCTCCTTCTGACTGTCCAAACGCTGGTAACCACACCTCGGACCTCTCTAAGCTCTTCTTTGAGATTAGCACCAGTCAAATGTCGATTTCTCAGAGATTTAGATACAAGAAATCGATCATCTCTCTCTGTTGTTTTTTGTTTACTACCTCCTACTTATCGGTGGATATAATCACCAGTATCTTGGTACCGACGATACACTCGAGACACAGCAGATTGGCTTAAATTTAGTCGATTTGCCACGGCTCTCTGGTTCAGGTCTTCTCTCAATAATTCTACTTCATGAGCTGCTTTGACGCATGTGGTATCCATTTGTTATGAAGTTGCTAACTTAATTGACTGATGTATTAGTGTTATGGAGTGCACGCCACTGTGTGTGTGTGTGTTTTATCTCAATATTAAGACTACTTCGGAGATGATAAACACCCACGTAGATAATCTGGAGGTGTCAGCGATATGACCATAACTATAAGAGGTTTTTAAGATATAGTTTCTATTCATTAAGTTAGTATAGTTTTATTTTCTAAACTGTAAACATCTAAATACATTTGTGCATTTCCTTCAGAGTTTTTCGTTACTTAATTCTCCATCGAACACATATCATTTTATACAGAATAAAAGTTTAGTGGGTTGCTATGGAAATTGATGCTTACGATGTTAACCAAATGTGTTAAGTGGGTGCGTGTCGATTTCAATGGGTCAAATTATGAGCCCCTCTCTACGTGTTGCATTATTTATTTGTAATACGTCACCCGATTTACCAAAAATCAAAACTTTTTTTAAACTCAATAATGAGGTTAATAATTGTACAATGAATATTTTTAAATTTACACCTTTTTTTATTGAAACAGGAGACGTACTTTCGCAAAATAATTTTAAGTCTATTTTTTTGCACTTATCCTTTTTTCTTTTTATACAAACTTTAACTTTGCTTAAGGCTTAATTTTGCAAGACAAATATAAATTGTTTTAATTAACGCCACACGAAATTTTTTTCAGAACCAAATAATAATTAAGATTGTTACATAAAATCAACTGTACAGTTTATTATTGATAATACTTTATTTAAATCAAAATTTTTGAGCAATATTTGATATATAATATCACTAACCATTGTTTATTTGAGTAAAAAATTTAAAATGGTTATTTTTCAGTTCCTCCAAACATAAACGACTCCTTGAGCAGCAGCGATGCAATCGTGAGGGAAGGCTCCAACGAGACGTTAACTTGTAAAGCTACCGGATTTCCTACACCTAGCGTTAAATGGAAGAGGGACGATAATACCAAAATTACCATAAATAAGACACTTCAAGGTAGGCGTTATAAACTATATTTTTTCGGTAGTGGTTAGCTTTTAAACTGTTTTAATTTCATGTATGTCCTCTATTAGTATTTTTTCGAGTAAGAATATTCTTATAATTACATGAAGTTTATTATAAATCGTGGCCACTTTTATTTGAAAGTTGATGCTTAATAGAAGTAAAAAAGTATCAACAAAAAATTTAAATGATCCGATCGAAGAGTATCTCTTAGTACCACCGTCCAGTTAGTTTTATCAGCAATGTCTGGAGATACTAGTAATAACTCGGCAGAAGAATTTTGACCCGAAAGAGATAGTTTCCATTACATTTCCTACAAAATGTTTTACCTGATTTATTAGATGATGTTGTAACATTTTTTTATAACTAAAATAGTAAATAATTTTTAATCTCTTTACCCCTGTTACTGATACGCACATGGCCGTATCCGCAAATAGATATGCGGGTGGGCTCTCTCACCGTTAGCAAATTTTATTGGAACTTACCGATTATCATGGAGTTTTCAAAGTACGGAAAGGTCGTACTCATCAAAAGAGGCCAAAGTAGAATTTTGGTAGAGCTTTGTTTTTTTATTTTATGGTAGAGCTTTGTTAAGCTATTTCGGTTCCAGGCGGGTCCTTTTTGATACTTCCATTGATAATATCGGACGTCTATGAATAGAGTGTCCCACTTGTTATTTTTTCTAAATATTGTTACGAATATGCTTTCTGCATGGCCCATGTAACGGTTGCATCGCGAAAGGGCATCAATAACCATCCACAGATGTCTCGAACGCAAGAAAATCTATCCGTCAAATAACGAATTAGAGATGACACTACTTTAGATAATTCTAGAATAATACTTTTGGTATATATATGTAACGATGTTATGAGTTAGTTAAGATATTACCGAACTGTAAACTTATAAATAAATATATTTATATAAATTCGAACCGCTCGTTTTATTTAAAAACGCTACAGTTGGTGTCCGGAGAAGACCCAGAGACATTCTAGTTCCAGTCAGCAGAAGAAGCAGTTTTAACGAAAATAAAAAATGGGTCGCAAATGATTGAAGAAACTTCTAAAAAAATTGATGAAATTAGAGAACGTTTTCAAAAGATTCGATGAAACATTCGAAATGTATCTAGAAGATTCGACGAGTCTTCACAAATAATTAAAGAAATATGTATTCAGAACAATGATAAATTTGAAGAAGTCTCAAGAACATTCGATAAAATACAAAAATATATAAACGATAAGATAGAAGATGTAGATGAGAAGATCAAACAATTAGAGACTATGATAACTAACAAGAAAGTGCTACCACCAGTTAATACAGTAGCATTAGACCCGGTAGTGAAAGAAGAATCACCTAGAGATGAAATGACACATCATATGAGATTGAAATTGCCACCATTTGATGGAAACTCCTCTTGGTCCATATACCTTAGACAATTTGAAGCTATTGCGACAGCCAATCATTGGACAGAACAAGAAAAGGCTGTTTCCTTGACTGCTGCTTTACGAGGTGATGTCAGAAGTATTGCGTCAGTTGCATGACGGTGCATCAGGTGGACACTTTGGTATTATGAAGACTCTGCAAAAGGTTCGAGAACGGTTCTATTGGGTGAACTGTTAAGATGATGTAAGAAGATGCTGACGGAAATGGGAACTGTGTGCAACCAGTAATGGTCCAGTTGGTAAAAATAGGGCACCCATGAAACGGTATAATGTTGGTAGTTCTATGGAAAGAATAGCAATCGACATTGCAGGTCCTTTTCCAGAGACGAATGATGGAAATAAATATATCCTGGTAGCCGTGGATTATTTTACGAAATGGACTGAGGCCTATGCGATACCAAATCAAGAAGATGCTACCGTTGCAGAGGTACTGGTTAAATAATTCTTTAGCCGATTTGGTGTTCCCTTAGAGATCTACTCCGACCAAGGGCGAAACTTCGAGTCAAACCTTTTTCAAAACGTTTGTAAATTGATTGGTGTCAATAAGACCAGAACAACACCCCTGCATCCTCAATCAGATGGAATGGTCGAGAGAATAAATCGGACGAGGGGTAAACACCTGTCCACAGTTGTATCAAAACATCAAAGAGATTGGGACCAGCACATTCATTTATTCTTAATGGCATACCGCTCGGCCGTGAATGAAACTACAGGCCAGACTCCAACCTGCCTGATGTTAGGTCGTAAAGTTCGTTTGCCCTGCGACCTAGAGTTTGGCTGCAGACCTTCCGAAGAACATGTTGCAAGCGAAGATTATGTCGACGGTTTGAAGTTAAGAATGAACAACATTCATGAACTTGCCCGACAACACATCCAGTTAGCCAGTGACAGAATGAAAGATCAATACGATTCTCGATGCAAGAATGAAAGCTATGAAGTAGGTGATCTTGTTTGGCTTTATATTCCACATGAGATCAAAGATCGGCGACCAAGCTTTAATGAGTTTATGTCAAATTACGTAGAGAGAAAGAGTGCTAGATTTGGCGTGACGACAGAAGTTTAGCAAGATCTTCGCGTGTTCCGCATAACGTCTCTCTAGCCCACTGTGTTGCCCAAGATCTTGAGATGACTAAAGGAATCTCATCTGTATTTTATAAGAAGTTCGGTCGTTTAGACAAATTAAAAAATCAGCAGCATAAAGTTGGAAGACTACTGAGATTGGAAGATGGCACTCGATCTTTGTTGTAAATGGTGACCAGGAAGTCATATACAGACAGGGCAAGCTACTAGGATATATGGCGTGCTCTAACTAATTTGAAGAAAATCGTGTGCAATTATGAAATCAAAAATTTGGCCTTTCCCCGAGATAGGCCACGCACTAGATAATTTGGATTGGAAGTTTGCCAGAAGCATGCTTGAAGTGATCTTCCGAGAAACCGGCGTAATAATTACGGTGTGTTCTTCTTCTTCTTCTCGTGCCACTCCTAGCGGAGATTGGAAGTCATCATGGCCACTGCGACTTTGTTAGCAGCGCGCCTGAAAAGTTCAATCGAACTACACCCGAACCATTCACGTAGATTACGAAGCCATGATATTTTTTCTTCTTCCCACACTTCTTTTGCCCTGCATGATGTTTCTTAAAAGTTCGTACTTTTCATCTCTCACAATGTGCCCCAAGTATTCCATCTTTCTAGTTTTTATCTCATTTAGAATTTCGCATCTTTTGTCTAAAGTTTGGAGTACTTGCGTGTTAGTGACGCGGTCCGTCCATGATATTCTGAGAATGCGCCTATAGCACCACATCTCGAAATCTTCGATGTTTTTTATGGTCAACTGTTTTAGTGTCCAAGCCTCAACTCCATATAACAGGGTAGAAAAGACATAGCACCGCAGCATTCCTATTCGTAACTTTATATTGATATCACGATTGCAAAAGAGTTTGCGCATTCTATTAAAGACGGTGTGTTGCATTAACCCAAAGAGATCGTGTCCTTCAAAGTCACTAGACTGTTATTTCTTCTTGAGGGGATCAGAGCTGGAGAGGCATGTAGATTCCGCCATCCTGGGTCTAGATATGGAGTTGCTGATCGGGACGCTCAGATCTAAGAGGGGAGCAGTGTTACGAACATGCTTTCGGCATGGCCCATGTAATCGCATCTCGAAAGGGCATCGAGAACCATCCACAGATGTCTCGAACGCAAGAAAATCCATCCATCAAACAAAGAATTAGAGGTGGGACTACTTTAGATAATTCGAGAATAATACATTTGGTATATATATAGATATGTAATGATGTTACCGTGTAAGATATTACCGAACTGTAAACTTATAAATAAATATATTTATATAAATTCGAAGCGCTCGTTTTATTTAAAAACGCTACAATATGTTTTAAAGATCATAAAAATGAACACTTATGAAACATATCGGTCGAATTCTTATCTAGTTTATCGCAGTGAAAAGATTCAAACTGATTAGTTGAAATCAACATTTATCAGGCTACATTGCAGTGTTTTGATAACCGCCTATTTAGCTTAATGAGCCATATAAGCCAAAAACTAAAGCCGATATACAATCGGATGGATTATCGGTGATTACTATTCCGAATAAATTAGATGCAATATAGAAACGAAGTTCTTTGTCAATTACATCCGTTTCAGTCGTATACGCGTTGCATAAATCATAAACCTTAATTACTCTATTTATAATTCAGATTAAGTACATAGCGAACCTCGCCTATACATATGTATATGAGAAACTTTACACTATGACTTAAAAACGGTGAATTACCTACGATATAAAAAGAATTTAAATAACTTAGATGAATAATTTAAAGATCTCTTCACTAAAACAGTTCATTCAATTAATCAAAATACTTCACAATAACACACTTTTGTACATCCTAAGTAAAGCTCCAGAAAACTATTATAATTTAGCTGCACTATACAGAAATAATAATATGTGGAACGCTACAAAGACCGAACGCAAGCAAGCAAGCCGTTTAATTAAACCCAGCCTGTGAGAAATGTTCACCACTAAGAATTACGTTCAGGTGTAACAATTCATTGACCTATATGCACCTATAGCACTCTGATGCTCTTCAGCCAAATTGCTCTTCATGTGGGGGCCCTGGGTAATAGAACCCCAACATGGTTTTCTAACCGAATTCAAAACTCAGGACAGCGCATTGTCGCTATATTCCTGTTATCTCACTGTGGCTTATCCGCGAACTAAAATTGCTTACTTGGCCTCAAGTCTTCGCTCTGAGCTAGGCTCAGTTCGGCGACTTGGTACTCAAGGGGTTGGACCCTACGTGCCCGAGTTTTTAATGGTTTTTGTTAATATTTTTTTTTGTAGCTTGTGCCGGTTTTTGTTGTCCACAATGTATGAGCTACGAACTATCTTCATTGTGCGTTGTTGTTGTTTTTTTGAAGTGTGTTCTCTCTGGTGTTTTGTCTTCTCTCTGGTGTGATTGTTGATTTGCTCTCTAGTATTATGATTTTATTCTATTTGTTGTTTGGGTCTTTTGTGCTTCCATCTGTGGAAAGCATCGTACCTCATTCTCTCGCAATATGTGGCTAGGGTGATTCTCTATCTCCGCAAACTTTGTCCTAGCTTTTTCTTTCATTGTGTCAGTCACTCTGATTTGTTGTAGTTCTTTGTATCTCGGTACGTTGACTGCTCCTCTTAGGCTGTTGTTATGTGCCGCTTGTATTTTCTTTTTTGATGTATTGCATATGTGTCTCCATGCGAGAGATGCATATTTAGGTTTCATATACAAACGTCCTCCAATTCTTCTTGTTGCTTGCCAATTTCTTCGCTTGCTCCTTGGTGACTCCTCTCCTGTCTAGGATGGCGGTAATTTCATCGTCCCAGGTCTTCATGGGTCTGCCCCTCGGTCTTTTCAAGGTTCTTCTCGCTTCCCACACTTGTTTCACTTGGCTTTTTTTATCCATCCTTACCATGTGGCCGTACCATCTCAGTTGGGCTTCTTCGATTTTCTTCTCTATTTATTGGACTTTAAGGCGTTCTCTTATTTCATCGTTCCGTATCCTGTCCATTCTGGTCACCCCTAGTACTCTTCTTAGATACTTTATTGAAATACTTTGCAGCCTCCGGTTTTCTGAGTTCGGATAAGACTTGTCCTATCCGGACTCTGAAACTACGATTGCTCAAGTACGAAGAGATTAGTCTTTTCATTGCTCCGGTGTAACCGTATCTTCTCATTTTGTAGATCAGTCCTTTATGCCAGACTCTGTCGAAAGCTTTGCTTACATCCAGAAAGGCAGCTCCTGTAAATTGTTTGTCATTAAATCCAGCTGCTATGTACTCTGTTAATCTAAGTACTTGTAGCTCACTGGAGTGTTCTGATCCAAAACCGAATTGGGCTTTGGGTGTTATATCTAATCTGTGTTTTCAGTTTGGAGTCTGCTGAGTATTGTTCTCTCTACAATCTTGCTGATTGCAGGTAGTACGATTATTTGCCTGTACTTTTGCAGAACTGTGCTGTTTTTTTCCGGGGTTTGATAACATTATGACATGGGCCTCTTTTTTTATTCTTTTGAATTTTTGATTTTTTAACTTCTTGGTCTAAGATTTTCTTCTATTTCGATATTAGCTAATACTATTTGCTTGTCTCATTCTACAAATAACGGTTTTCCAATGCTTTTTTGATCAGCAGTCCTAATAGAAGTTGAATCTTTTATTCAACGTTGCTCTTCGATGTTAATTCTCGCTGTCTGGTATATCTTAAAAAATTTATTTATCTCATTGTTTGTAGATTATTTATTTTTTTCGCAGAGACTATTACCACTAATCTAAATATACAAAAAATGTATTTTAGTTTATATTATTTTGACAATAACATATTTTGATCACGTCGAGTTTTTTTTTCAGTTTCCGAATGGGAAGGAGAAACTCTGGAGCTTACAAAAATTTCCAGGCTTGACATGGGGGCTTTTTTGTGCATTGCTAGTAATGGTGTACCTCCGACAGTGAGCAAAAGAATCAAAGTAAGCGTAAATTGTAAGTATTTTCTTCCTAAAATTTTTACTGTTTTACTGTTTACAGTTTTTGGACTAGTTTTTTTTATTTCTCTTTTTTTTAGTCATCCTACGTACATAATTAAATGAAACTGCCTTTCTCTTTAAGTGTCTTCTTATTTCTATCCAGAGCCTGCCCAGTTAAGTTAATCCCTATAGTCTTTTTCAGGTCGTCATACAACCTTCGTTTTTGGTCTTAATCGATTTTCCTAGATCAGGTATTCATTTAATATTCTTGTGCTCTATCCATGATCCTGTCGTCTTGTAATTTCAAATGTATACTTTGTTTCCAGTTATAATTTTGTATGTGGTGCATGAGTGCTTTTATGCATCTTTGTTTAATCATAAGGTCTTCTTCTTCTTCCTTCTAGTATGTAGGCTTTAAAGCCTGTTTCTTCATTAATATTAGCCTCCTAAATTGTTTAAATTGTCACACCATATTTTTCTTGGTCTGCCAATACTTATTTAGGTATACTAGGCCTCTTGTTTCTCTTTACATTTCTCCATTATTTCTTTTCTGAACATAGTGTATTGTTATTATTATTTTTTGTTCAGTATGACTTTGCGTTTTACTAGAGCTTCTGTTGCTGCTTCTTCAATGTTGTTTTTCTTTCTTGATTTTCAGTTCGTTCTTTGCTTTAAAAACATAGAAATTAGCCATGAGTTCTCCATTTGCGTTGACAGGGTTTTGACATGGTTTTATGACTGGGGGTTATTAGCGCGATGACTGGGTGGATTGAGTAGCTCATAAGCCGCGTTCATGCCCACAGCCGGTCCCAAGTCCAGATAAAAGAGGAGGGTTGATGGGCCAGATTAGCATCCTACCCACTGTAAAAGAAAACAAGGCTCAAAGAACGGATATAAAGTCGGAACTGGAAGGAATAGTCTCATTCTTATAAATCGAAAGCTTTGAATTTAGGGCAGGGATCGATTACTAGAGAAATACAGTACACCCAATTTGTTTTATTGCAGGACTATTATTTATTGTTGTTAGAAAATGAAAACTGAAGTAGAAAATATAAAGGAGGTCGAAAGAAGCGACTACAATAAAATAAAGATAAATAAACTCAAAATATAAAAATAGACAATATTACAGAGAAGAAACTCACAAAAGACTAATAAAAATGTAGGACAAAAAAGAAATATGTACATTGGAAAAAACATGGAAACGCATTCAAAGAATTATTAAAGAATACAGCAATAGAAATATATGTGGAAACAAGAAATACAATAAATAATTTAAAAGGAGAAGGTAGTGGAAGAAACAAGCGTGAAAGAAGTAGAGAAGAGGACGAAGAAGAATATAATAGACAGAGATGATTCGTAGAAACCAAAGTGAGACAAGAGACAAATAAATGGCAAGACCTAAAAAGAAATTAAAAAATGATCACAGAAAGGCTTATCTTATTTCTTGTTGTTATAAAAGGGTTTTTAAAATTGAATTCCTCCTTATTGTTTTGGTCAGTATTAATTTCTTATATTTTTTGTCTAAGCAGTCGATCGTGAAGTGTGACCATCGAGCAAAAAGACAAAAGAGGGAATGTAAAGGTAGTGGGGGTAAAAATATTGTTAGACAGGAAGTGCGATCTTTAGAGGCCACATTAAACAAGAAAAGAGAGTCTCTCTCTTTGTTTGACATCAAATTTAGTTGGGTTATGTTATGGTTTGTCCCTAATGTCACATGAAATCTTATTTATATTGAAGTTTTTTAACAATTGTGTCGCATTTTAGACTATTATCGTTAATAATTAATTAAAACTTTCTCGTCTAAGACACATTCTGAAAAATATTATATAGCTACTGTTAATAAGTGTCGGAAAATTTAAATTTGGCGCATTCGCATTTCCGATATGTCCGCCATCAGAGGCCACTTTTTTGGTCTCCCTTTCATAAGGATTAGATTCCCTCTTTTGTCTTTTTTCTCGATGAGCGTGACACACTTTTTCCCTCCTACAAATCTGTAGAACTCTCATCTGGGGATTCATAAATTTTTTCATGAAAATATGTTTAAATAAACAATCAAAACGTCAAACTCATTATTTTGATCATCTTATTTATAGATTTGACGTCAACTGACAACTTTTTCGGAAAAATATACACAAATTGAGATAAATACTAAATTAAAATCAGATGATAAGCAAAAGAGTTGCAAAATGAACAACAGAATCTCTTTTTTGGAATATTGTTAATATCTTTTTTACTATTTCATTTTTAAAAAAAATGATCCGTTTATCCGTAGGCAACAAAAAATTTTCAGTAATTTTCGCAAATATCAAACAAATGCTAAGTTTAACCCATTACGTAGTTTAGTGAAGATCTAAAGCGTGCTTACAAGAAAGAAAACTTCGATAAAGGTGAAAGTCGTTCCAATGAAAAGACGTCTGACATGCAATTGATTACTATTTAAATTATATAAATGCAAAATAGACAACTGCGAGAAAGTAAAAGGTGAAATAGAACACAAGAAAGATCACGAACATTTATCTTTTAACGAAATAGGAACAGTGGTATATATATCACTCAAGACACTCCCGGAAAATTAACATAAGTTCTTTCCAATCGAACCATAAACAGAAATAATTTGTTTTAGGCAATAACTGACTGACAATACGGTGTTAAATAATTTATAGTAACAAAAATGGGAAAAAACATGTTAAAAAAAAATCAAAAGATTTATACCATATTATTACACAGAAAATAAAAGGAATATCAGCGAAGACTAAAAAAACTTCAAGTATCTGCGAGACAGAATATTTCTTTTTTTACTCTCCTTCTTATTTTACATTTTAGGTATCGAATTTAGGTTAGTTAAATTCTTGTTCATTCATGTCATGACATTTTTTGCTTAGTTTTTCACCTCCAACAGTTTGCTTTGTCAATGTTTTTCTTGTATAGCCGTTTTTAGTTTTTCTGACAATCTTTATTTCGTGTAGTATTCGCTAATTCTATACATTCCGCTACGTATCTTATTTATTTTTCTGTCCCATTTTGTTCTCCAACTATCTTACGTAGGGTCTCATCTCCATTAGCCTTCGAGTGGTAACGTACGGTTCCTGACACCGACGTAGTACATTTTTCGCGCTAAAACTCAAATGGGCATATTGTTTTGTCCGCGCGGCCAGGTAGCTTTCGAATCCTCATCACGCTATTCAGTCTTGAAAAATTTGTGACCGAGTGTGGATAGTTCAAATGTTATTCGGCCTGACGGTGTGAGCGACCGAGGTTACCATTTGTGTTATACTCAACGGTAAGTTTTGTCGTTTTTGGTCCATCGTCAGTTTAAATAATATGTATTCATTTTAGGAGTTGTATGTGAATATGATTTACGAAAGAGAATAAATCAGGTTGCAACAACTTTTTGGCGAAATTGTTGCTAATTCCAAACCGGAACCAGAAGATGACGAAGCAAGTTTGCAAGATGATTGTTCAGAAGTTCTAGAATATTATACCAATTCAGAGAATTTCTGTGATGAAGAATATGTCGAAAATCATGTACCAGTAAAAGTAATACCGTGCATACCACGTTTGTTTGGGAAGATGGAACAAGGTGGAGGAAACATCATGAATTTAATCGTAACGTTCGAACTCGTACTGAAAATCTTCTACCCAATCTGGCAGGACCAAAAGGTGATATTAGGCGAAAATTGGTGATAAAAGAGATTTGGGAATGTTTTTTCATTACAGACATTCTAGAAAAAATAGTAGAATGTACCAATAAGTTCATAGCATTGAAACGCTATGACACAGTCAATAACAGAACGGCTAGGCCAGTTGATCTTATGGAATTAAAAGCTCTGTTTGGGCTGTTTTACAGATCTGGCGCTAACAAAAGCAATCATTAGAGTGCTGATAATTTATTTAGAACAGATGGAAGGTCAATGTAGATTTATCAGATTACAATGTCGCTAAAGAGGTTCCAGTTCATTTTAAGACACATTCGGTCCGATGACAAAAGTACTAGAATACTATAACATCTTTATAGTTCTAATTTATTGTTCTTAATTTAATTTACTAAAGGTTCTATTTATAACACTCACAAATTTATAAAAGTCTTTATTTGTGTTAATTTATTATACAATTAATTTATTATAATACGTGCGTTACAATTTAAAAAACGTGGCGCGCGATCTTCAGATATTAACTGCCCCTGTTTACAATACAATTTCGATTTAAATATGAACTACCGCTAGCCCAGAGTTCCCTAAAGCGGACGACGACCTTCTCCAGTAAAAAGAGAATCCCATGGATTTTGACCTGAATTGCCTGGAATGAACTGGAACTCAGACTGGTTTTTTATAGCGGCCTGTATCGGAGGGGGACCCATCGTGTCAGGTAGGTTTTACCTGGAATTCCTGCCATCAGTTCAAATCTAGAACATATAAGAATTAAACAACATGATTACAGGTTTTTTTTCAATATGACTAATTTTTACGTAACAATACAAAGGCAAGAATTCGACAAGTTGGCTGCGATACGTGAGATTTTTGAAGACTTAGGTTTTCAACTTATTGACGAACATATTTGCAGACGATTCCTAGAACAAAATATTCCAAGGAAAATTCGTATGTAGTTAGTGGTGGAAATTTGTGGCATACAGACAAGAAATCAACCTATCCAGAATAATGTGTATATGATATGTTCTGCAGTAGTAAGAAAAACCGCAAAACTCGGTTTCTTTGCACGCAGTGTGGCGAATATATTTGTTTGGAACATTAACCGGACTATGTGTTGTGGGCAGTGTAGAAGAAAATGAGGAACCAAACGGACAATAGCTTGAGTTTATTTTGGACATCCGTTGAATATTTTTTTTGTGACATTTCAATCCTTGTCTTTATGTTTGTTGATATTATGTATTCAAAAACATGTTTTTGTAAATAGTTTCTCAATTATATTAGTACCTTTTTTTTTTGTTTTTTGTCTTTATAGAGGGGGGTCTGGAATCTTCAAAAGACATCTCAGTCCAGGACGCCGCCTGACTGACCT